AAATTAATTAAAAAATTAGAATAATAAAATAAAAATAATTTTAACGAAATTGAGACACACTTCAGAGTTAAAATTTATCAAAGGACATTATTTAATATTTAATTTGGACAAAAAAAAATTATTATACAATTTTTTCCTTTTTTTTTATACAGGATAGAAATTCGTCACCATTAGAATTATTGTAATAAATAAAATTAAGTTTTTAATTCTTTGAAAGAATATAAACCTTTTCATAAGAAATGCAGTAATAAGTAGGATTTTTTTTATTGATATGCTTTTTGCAAAAATATTGGTCAATGTATATTAACGCTTATTAAATTTAAAAATCTAAATTATATTAATATTTAAAAAATATTTAATTTATGTATTGTAAGATTTCAGTGTCATAATTCAGATACTCAAGGTATAAGGGGGTATCTAAAGAGCTGCAAAATATTTTTAAAATAATGTTAAATATTTTATAATTAATTAGAAATAAAACAACAATGTATAGAAGTCATGTGTAATGTAGATTCTATTAATTAAGAATTTATTTAAATTCTAAAATTAAGGCGCCATATTTAAAAATGTCTTCCATAGCTGTAAAAACTAAATATATGCATTTACATAATTTAACTTCAACAATTTTTTAATGTAAGATTTAATAAGACTTTATGGAAAAATCTTAATATATTGAATATGTCATCAAAAATAAATAAGTCCCGGCAGTGTTTTGCTTGCAGTTGTTTAAGGAAATTTACTGAAAGTAGACATTTTAACCACAGAGCTGTAGTGTAGTTTTGGTTCATTTGGTTAAAACGCGTGAAGTCACCGCTTCCAGTTTGAAAGGTTAAAAATTTAAAGATTGGCATTAGTAGTATAAAAATTATATACGAAAAAATAAAACCAACAAACCACTAATGATAGGTATTTAGTCACATTCAAGCAGTCAACGATGCAGCTTAAAAATTCAATCATTTAAATATTCTTCAATAAGAAACGGTTTTTTTTTGTCATTTAAAAATAATGACTTCATATAAATAAATTTTGAAAGGATGTAAGAAATATATATCTCAGTAAAATCTGTATTGATTTATTTCTAGTGAAAAACGGTCCTATAACACTTACGAATATAACGCCTCATTTATAATATAGACATTTGAATAAAATAAATGTATATGACTATTTTTTAATATTTTTATAGAATGAATAAAGTATTAGTGTTGCTGTTAAGCTAGACTTACTTTGTATAGGGACAAAGAAGCTTTATTAAATTTTTAGAAGGGTTTTCGAATAACAAAGAAAGAAATAAAGTACAAACACAAAAATTTATTTTTAAATTTTATTGAAGTTCGGCTGACCATACAACGCTGTTTCGAGTATTGCCAAGTACTCTTCATCAGTGGTCTTTGGAAATAATCGAATTTTATTTAATTAGTTTATAGTCCGTATATAATTTGTTTGAACTGCAAGTGCCAGGCTTAGAACTCGTGCCTGTCAAATTAGAAGCGATGACTAATCGTGTTTATCCACAAGAAGCCAAGGCTGCACAAACTTTCAATGCTTAAGTTCCAGGTTTTATTGTCACTTATTTTTATTTAATTAGTGACACCAACCAAAGCACTTGCAGTGCTTTAAATTAGAACGAGCTTATAAACTACAGCTTTATTTTGGAAACACAAGTTCAACGAATTGAAAGTTAACTTTTGGGTTCGCCTATTCTTTATTTTTTCAAAGCTACTCTTTTTGTAGAGACATTTTGTACTGCATATTGTTTTACTTACTATATGTAAAGCGACCATTCTGGTGCTTTTTACAAAGAAGCTATGCTATGTTATTCTACAAACCCCCTTTCGCGGTTTAGGAAAGGCTGAACAATATTATATTTTAACATATTGTTCTTATTTTTCACAAGTCTAATTTTTGAATAAAGTATTTGTGTTGCTGTAAAGCTAGACTTTCTTTGTATAGGGACAAAGAACTTTATTAAATGAACAGGGGTTTCTAAAAAGAAAGAAGAAATAAAGCACAAACACAAAAAAAAGCACGGCAAGTGCGTTGGTTGGTGTCACTAATTAAATAAAAATAAGTGACAATAAAACCTGGAACTTGAGCATTGAAAGTTTGTGCAGCCTTGGCTTCTTGTGGATAAACACGATTAGTCATCGCTTCTAATTTAACAGGCACAAGTTCTAAGCCTGGCACTTGCAGTCCAAACAAATTATATACGGACTATAAACTAATTAAATAAAATTCGATTATTCCAAAGACCACTGATGAAGAGTACTTGGCAATACTCGAAACAGCGTTGTATGGTCAGCCAAACTTCAATAAAATTAAAATAAATTTTTGTGTTTGTCCTTTATTTCTTTCTTTGCTATTCAAAAACCCCTCTAAATTTTAATA